TCGAAATATTGAAGCATCTGAAATAAAAAGGTACAAATTATAACTAAAGATAGGCGTCTTTGATGTAGAAGCTTTTCTATCCTATATATTTGGAGAATATTTAACTATTCATCTTTCATTGTTTACTCAATCGGTTGGATGCTTCTGTATTGCCATCTTTCGAAAATCTGTAAGACAATTATTGGTATGTTCCCTTACTGCAAGAATCTACTCGATTTTACTATTTTCTTCGATATCATAAAGGAAAATTCGTTATCGTAGTAAAAACTAGTAGATTCTTTCAGTACGGGAACAGACCATATGTTTGTATAATGTTATGTATTTTTTGTTTTGCAATACCAAAACTTGCCCAGGATTCATCATATGTATTGTTACGAAAATAACTTTAGATTTAAGATTAATTTAGATGAATTCCGTTAATTTAAGAATTTGAATTGTAACGTAAATTTCTACTACGCAGTTTATTTGAATAACTTCACAACAACAACTACTGTATAAATTTTTCTACATCCTTCCATTCCCTCTTTCATTTTCTATTTTTGTTATTGTCGTACAATTCTTGTTAAACGTCATTCCTCTTTCTTTGTTATTCCCTCGCCTGTATATGTGTTGTTGTTATTCCTCTTTCTTTGTTATTCCCTCGCCTGTATATGTGTTGTTGTTATTGTTTACTCAATGTAAGTTTGTATGTGTGTTTGTTGCATTGGTAGATTGTTCGTGATCTAGGTGTTACCAGATCGTCTAGAAACTTCTGTAGCGACAAGCAAGGCTCATATAAATAGGGGAAATGGAAAGGCAGTGAGTCAGTTGTGAATCAGATCGCGAATTGAAACCGTCGAGTAAAGTAAAGTGCAAAGTAAAGTTGTGTGAATAAAATCATTGTAATAATCGTAATCCAAAAGAACCCGCGTTTTATTTGGTACGAATTGTATCGGGAAATAAAACAACGTCTACACGGGATTAAGTAAAATCCAAGAACGTAACAATTGGTGTCGGAAGTGAGATTACGATAATACTACGATGAAGTTTAAGGATCTACGAGTGGAAGACTTGAAGAAGGAGCTGAATAAATTGGAATTGTCCTCTACTGGCAACAAGGCTGAGCTACAAAAACGTCTGTTGGATGAGTTCGAGCGCCGTGGTATGAACATCGATACATATGAGTTTGACAGTAAGGATGAAGTGGATTTATCGGAAATGGGCGAATCCAACGGTGGGGAAGTCTCGTCAGTAGCTGCCAGGGGTGACGATTTCAGAGAAATGCTGGCTAAAATGTTTGAGGAAAATTCCAGAATGTTAGTAGAAAACACGAGACGAATGTTCGAACAGAATTCCAGGAAGTTAGATGAAAATTCGAGAATAATGAACGAGAAACTCGAGAACATTACAGAAGTTATTGGAAGGAGAGTGGAAACCGTGGAGGTCCAAATTAAAGAGTTGGATAAGAAAGTGCAGTCGGTTGACGAGAAGATTCTGTCTGTGGATGAGAAATTTCTGGCCCACGACCACAGGTTTACGAATCTGGAGAAGAAAATGTCGGAACTGGAAATTAACACAAATATCTCGTTAACTTGATCAAGGACGCCATGAGGCGGGTAATAGAAGAAACAAAGTTAGTAGGGGTGACTAAGCCCAGGGTTAGATGCTACAACTGCGATAAAGCAGGTCATATTGCGCGCGAATGCAGAGCTAAGCGCAAACGATCCAGGTCATCGTCACCACCTCCAACGAAAGATGGTAGAAGAATGGCTCAACAGTCCACCAATGAGTCACCGTTAAACAGAATCGAGCACAGAGAAGGCGGAAAACGCGGTAATGCTGATGCCCTGTCTTGTCGGCCATGCAAGGTAGAATACAGGCACTGCTCAAAGGCCGAGTGCAAAGAGAATATCGTTGATGTCCGACGATTGCAGTTTGAGTCGGGTGAAGATTGGTCGACGGAACAACGAAGAGATCCCATTCTGGGCAAAATAATTTCGGCCATAGAAACGGGCAAGCGACCTAGTCTGAAAGAAATTACCTCCGAAAGCCCTCTTTTAAAATCCTATTGGGCCCAGTGGGACAGTCTACTTATAATAGATGGTTGCCTATATCGCAAATGGGAAAGTGAGGACGGTAAATCTCACCGGAACTTGATCGTCGTCCCAGACTCCAAAATAAGAGATGTCTTGTCGGAGTTTCACGATGGGCCAAGTGGGGGACATCTTGGCATAGCAAAGACCGCTGAAAAGGTAAAGCAGAGATTCTACTGGGTCGGCTGTCAAAAATCCATTGCCGACTGGATCGCCAATTGTGAAAGGTGCATAAGAGCTAAAGGTCCAACATGGAAGAGTCGAGGTTACATGCAGCAGTATAATTCAGGAGCCCCTTTTGAAAGAATCGCAATGGATGTAGCTGGACCGTTCCCCACAAGCGACTCTGGGAACCGGTATGTCTTAGTGGTCATGGATTACTTCAGTAAATGGCCAGAGGTTTATGCTATCCCAAATCAAGAAGCCAGGACAATTGTGGATGTGTTCAGCAAAAATTGGATTTGTCGCTATGGTGTTCCATCTGAGGTTCATTCCGATCAAGGTAGGAATTTTGAATCAGCGATCTTCAAGGAAATGTGTGACTCCTAAGGAATCAAGAAAACCAGAACGACGCCCCTACATCCACAATCAGATGGCATGGTGGAAAGATTCAATCGCACCCTGGAAGAACATCTACGGAAAGTGGTGGACAGTGGCCAACGAGACTGGGATGAGCATATTCCCAAGTTTTTACTGGCTTATAGATCGGCCATTCATGATTCCACATCCCGGACCCCAGCCAAAGTTCTGTTCGGAAATGAATTAAAGCTCAAGGCGATTTGATATTCGGTGCTACCCCAAACGACGATGTGAACCAAGAAGAAGACAGTCAGAACTCTTTTAGTAAAATCCACGATGCAGTTCGCCATCGAATAAAAATGGTTAGCAACCGCATGAAGGCAAGGTACGATCGAGCGGCAAATACCGATGGGTTCCAAGAAGGGCAACTGGTACTATTGTTCAACCCACAACGAAAAAAAGGACTATGCCCCAAATTGCAAACGCACTGGGAAGGACCCTACAAGATTGTCACGAAAATAAATGACGTCGTTTATCGCATCCAGAGGAGCGACAGTCCCAGGTCGAAGATGAAAGTTGTACATTTGGAGCGGCTGACCCCCTACGGAACGGGAACTGTGCCTATTCGGGACGAACAGGCTTAAGCGGGGGGCAATGTTACGAAAATAACTTTAGATTTAAGATTAATTTAGATGAATTCCGTTAATTTAAGAATTTGAATTGTAACGTAAATTTCTACTACGCAGTTTATTTGAATAACTTCACAACAACAACTACTGTATAGATTTTTCTACATCCTTCCATTTCCTCTTTCATTTTCTATTTTTGTTATTGTCGTACAATTCTTGTTAAACGTCATTCCTCTTTCTTTGTTATTCCCTCGCCTGTATATGTGTTGTTGTTATTCCTCTTTCTTTGTTATTCCCTCGCCTGTATATGTGTTGTTGTTATTGTTTACTCAATGTAAGTTTGTATGTGTGTTTGTTGCATTGGTAGATTGTTCGTGATCTAGGTGTTACCAGATCGTCTAGAAACTTCTGTAGCGACAAGCAAGGCTCATATAAATAGGGGAAATGGAAAGGCAGTGAGTCAGTTGTGAATCAGATCGCGAATTGAAACCGTCGAGTAAAGTAAAGTGCAAAGTAAAGTTGTGTGAATAAAATCATTGTAATAATCGTAATCCGAAAGAACCCGCGTTTTATTTGGTACGAATTGTATCGTGAAATAAAACAACGTCTACACGGGATTAAGTAAAATCCAAGAACGTAACAGTATTTTTGTCGATTCTTGAAATCTGTTTATCGTGAATATCTTGTAATCTTGTTTATTGAGAATATATATTGTTTATATTTTTGTTTAAATATACATTTTTGTTAAACTTTTGCTTTCACAATTAAGAAAATTATAAAAAGTCTGAAGAAAATGACAATTGTTTTTTTTTGTTTTTGTTTTATTTGTCGATTCATTAATTTTTGCATTACCAGTATCTCATGGTATAATAATAAGAGGTAACAGCAAGTGTTGTTGTACAAAAAACGATACAACAACCACATGGAAATTTGTTGTTGTAAGTTCTACTAGTGTCAACTCATTTGACAGAAAAATGTAAACAAACAAACAAATTATCATCAAGTTATTTTTATTTTGAAAATAAATAAATAAAAATTGAAAAACATGAATGAAAATCTATCAAATTTATATTTATATCGCTTCCACATCTTTCCTTTAATTGAGCCATTGCCATATATATGGGTAACACATATGACAATGCTGGGAATAGCGAGTTATTCCTACAAGAAATATTTGCTTCTTCAAACTTTCCCAGCAGGCAGATTGAGTAAATTGAATACGGAGCACATTAATAAAGAAATATTTCAAATTGTATGTGTTCCCAATTTTCCTGTTGGGTGATTTTTAAAAACATATTTTGTCAAATTCATATTGACACTAGTATTACGTTGGAATCAAATCAGCTGGGATTTGCTGTTACCTTTTATAATTGTACCATGCCAGTATCTATAGAATTAGACATTTTTTTCAATCAACAAATGAAGTCAATAGTCTATTTTGTGTGCCACTTTTTGATTTCGTAAATTCACATGATATGAAGTGCGGATGTAAATGCGCTATTTGCTATTAAAAACATACATGAACAGACCTAATATTTGTCACACCTCTTTAAAATCGTGCAATAATGCTATTGTGTAAATCCCTACCCAGCTGCTAAACTAAAGTTAAATATCGATTTAGCTATACCTAATTTACAAGGTTACGGTTAGTTGTTGTACGAATGAAAATGGAAAAGCGATAATCCAAAAACATGAACACCTAATTATTAACGACGGCAAACCAAAACAAGACAACATCGCTCGCAGTTTTAAGGAATTTGCAAAAAACAAAGCAAATGAGATGGTTTCACAAACACGAAAACGTATTCTAATTTTATTGGCCGTCGTGGTAATATTATTCCTACTGATACGCTATGTTTTCTTCGGTGAATCTTTAGAGGCAAGTATTGTTCCTGCTGCACCACAACTTATAATACCACAACAACAGCACGAAAGCCACGTAGGTTTTTTATGGTAATGGGAATTATGTTAATCGCCTAATTTTGCAAATGTTTTCAATCGCAGGACTCGCAAAACTATCGACGTGCTCCTGGCGCTCCAGTTATGGTTACGGTATTCTACGAAGCGTTGTGCCCAGACAGCAAACATTTTATAACCAAACAATTGGTGCCCGCCTTTAAAGAAGCGTCCGTATTAATGGATACGAGATTGGTGCCGTATGGCAAAGCCTCAACCATGACGAATCCCGATGGAACATATAGCTTTGACTGCCAACATGGTCAAGTGGAATGCGAGGCTAATACATATCATGCCTGTACAATTGAAGCAGTGCAAGATGCGCAGGCGCGTCTTGATATGGTTGCATGTATGATACGAGACAATCGTTTGCCAAAAGAAGCGCTGCATAGGGTAAGTCGAATTGAATAAAAACGGTGTTGCGATCGACCGGTGGAGTTATTTACAATTTGCACAGTGGGGAATAATTAATATTTGGAAAAAGTCATCCACAATTAAGAATCTTAAATGTAATTTAGCAAGAAGTGGGGAAATGTACATTTAGAATTTCGGAACAATTTTAGTTAAAGGCCAAGCCTAAGGATCTTGATTAAATAGTTATAGTTTTTTCTTGCCATCGGATATAAAGTGCTTTCCAGCGTACTGTGTGAACGACTGAAGTCAATTGTCAATGACATTATTGGACCATACCAATGCTGCTTCAGACCTGGCAAATCCACCATTGACCACATTTTCACTCTGCGCCAAATCCTGGAAAAAACCTATTCGTCGACTATAAAACAGCATTCGACAGCCCTATCCGTTCAGAGGTATTTAAAGCCATGTCTACGTTCGACATTCCTGCAAAATTAATTCGGCTATGCAGGAAACTTTAACAGGAACAAGATCAGCAGTTAAAGTCGGAAAGGACCTCTCGGAGCCATTTAATACCGAACGAGGATTCAGACAAGGTGACAGATTGTCGTGTGACCATTTTAACATCCTGCTGGAAAAGGTCATACTCGAGGCACAAGTGAACATAAATGGCACTCTGTACACCAAACAACACATGTTACTCCCCTACGCCGATGAAATCAACACAGAGCGGTAACAGCCAACTTTGAACAAATTTAGAAGGAGTCTGCCAAAGTGGGTCTGGCAGTAAACGGCGAGGAGGCCAAGCTGATGGTATCAACGTGCAAGACGTCCAGTAGACTTGAGAACTAAAACTTCGAGGTAGTCCAAGATTTTATATACCTTTGTACCGCCATAAACAAAACGAATGACATCAGTTTTGAAATTCGGAGAAGGATAGTGATGTTCAACTCAAAAGAAAGGCCACCTCCCGCCAAACCAAACTCACACTCTACAAGACGCTGATACTACTCGTGCTGCTATATGGATCTGAAGCATGGGTACTTGCGCAAACAGATGAGGCAGCTCTTGGAGTGTTTGAGAGAAAAATTTTCCGAAAGATCTATGGGCAGATTTGCGAAGATGGTAAATATCGCCGTCGAATGAATCATGAGTTGTGGCAGCTATTCTCGGACATCGACATTGTTAGACGTATTGACCTGCAGCGACTACGTTGTCTAGGTCATGTTGTGAGAATGGATGAATATGCCCTAGCCCAGAAGGCATATAAAAGCGAACCTGCTGATGGTTCATGCAGAAGGGGAAGGCCACGAATAAGATGGAAAGAGCAAGTGGAAGATAACATTGCCGAATATGGTCTTTCAAATTGGAAAAACTGCGCAAAAGACCGACGCGCTTGGAAATCTTTTTTAAGCTCGGCTTATGGAACGAAAGTTCTGTCACAAGTAGCCAGCTAAGTAAATAAGTTTTTTCTTACGGAAATTCATATTTTTAAAGATGGGGCTTAAAAAGTTCCGTTGGGAAAAAATATATTTTCCCTTGCTTTTTTAAAATTCTCTAAGACAATATGGGGTTATCAATTCAAAGCGACTGAACATCCACGCACCGTTTTCCGACATCCGAAATAGGTGTAATATATGTCCCGTCTGCATCACCCGATTTTATAACACTTTTCCCACCGAATTGTCTATAATTTGAAATATCATAAAACCCCCATGGCGGCACTATCAACCTTTGATTGTAAAATCATTGCAAAACGAAGTCAAATGCATGTGGTTCACGTCAAAACTTCAAATCGGACAAAAAATTCATTAGAAAATATGATGACAAAAAGTGGATCTAATCTGAACCTTTCAATATAACACTTCTAACAGGTAAAATGATAAATTAGACGGCATAAGTGAACACGCATAAAGGCAATATCCATCCATGTAGGGCATTTCAACTTAAGCATCAACTTGTAGTGGTCAAATCTATCGAAATAGTTTTCTAGGTCACGCGATAACAAAATATGACAAAAAACCAAAATTAGCACGAATCGAATAATGTATGCGTTATTTTCATTGATTATACAGTTAAAACCTACGTTAATAACGATTTAAAAATAGAACTTATCAGATTCTCAGAAAAGTGTGATAATTTGGTAATACCTATAAGAAAGAATATTAAATTAAATTTTTAGAAGAAAAAAAAAATAATTTTATTTTTAACTAATAATCTTATAATTCATTTTTTATTATTTTCAGTGTGCCAAGCAGCAAAATATCGATAATGTTGATCTCATACAAAAGTGTTTTGACAGTTCTCACGGCAGTGAATTATTAAAACTAAACGGCGATTTAACTCATGCATTACGACCATCAATAACATTTATACCCACTATTACTTTGGACGGATATCAGGGAAAACAAGCTTTAATATTAAAAAATCTTCTGGCGGAAATTTGCAAAATTGCTGGTGACAATGAAAAGGCGGATGAAATATGCAATCAACATATATAAACACCCATATTCACATCACGTCTTCAAATCGATATTATTACATTCTATTTTGTTAGCAGTTCAAAAACATGATAACGGCTAACAAAACTAGGCATTTATTTATTGATTTGTTTTTTTAAATCAAAAATACATGAACGAAACGCTTTTTTTATTCATCACACGACGTTCATTCTTTAACTAAACCACAATTCCAAAGATGGTATATTTTTAGAACAACTTACTTCTGGTCAAAACAAAGTCTAATTAAAGAAACATAAAAAAAACAAAAACACAATGTTATTTTATTGCATTAATACACAAATTATTATTTACAGACAATGCAAGAAAGATGTCATTTTTATTAGTGTCATTGTCATTCTTCATAATTGTAAAACCATTATTAGAACAATTGGTTAAAATAAGAATAAAATGTTTAAATTTCAATGCTTGTACTTGATTTTAAAATTCCATATTAAATAATAAGTTTGCGTGAACTTTTTCTGAAAATGTTTTATTAACAGAGTATTTTTTAGGATTAGGACATATTCCACATTCACATACAAAACAATTACAAAATGTATTAATGAAAACATCCAGGCAAATCTTGACGATCCTTGTAGGTTCAAAAAAAAAAATATTGAAAACATTTTTAATAGAAAACACGATAATAAAACAAATATTTTATATATGTATATTAGTTGCCATTGTAATTAACGACATTTAAACACAAATTATAATATACACAATTAAAAAAGAGTACATAAGTACAACGGTCACACATTTTTAATTTACTTTAATTCTATATTATTAGGTGTAATATGAACTTTGACTTCATATTCGTCATTACTAGCATTTGAACTATTAGCATCATCATCATCGCTAAGAAGTAACGAAAAGCGTTTCATAAGGCAACTTTTATCATCACAAAGACTCAAGGACATGTCGATTTTCAAATCCTCTTTTGACAGTTTATCTGCAGAAACATCAATGCGTTTAAGTTGTAAATTAAATTTGCCATCTGTTGTCAGTGAACCACGAGTATTTAATGATTTTAATGTTGAATTGGCACTGTTGAGACTCCATTTCTGTGGGGCTTCCTTGGTGAATTTAAGTTTGTCATCAAGTACAACCGATACTGACAACTTCAATTGTTTGCTTTTGCTCAAGGGCAAACGTTTAATTACTTCCAAACCCGAGCGTAACGGTCCATCCCGTTCATCTTCGGCAACACTTTGTGGAAATGTCAGTGAGAACCGTTTAGTCGTATTTGATTCGACATCTACACACAATAATTGGTGATTGTTGGTATCGGATATAAGTAAATATCTGCCGGTATTGTCAAAACACAAACCAGCCGGTTCATTAAAGTTTTGCAAGGTGACACCATCCGCCTGTAGATATTTGCAAGTCTCCACGGTATTATTTTCGATGTTGATAACCTTGATTTTATGATTATATGTGTCGGCCACATAGACTTTACCATTAATGTGATTATAACAAACACCCAAAGGATGTTGTAATTTAGCAGAAAATTGTTTACCATCTTCGTCGCCAAATGCAAATAGATTCTAAAAGTAGAAGAATACATATATATATATATATATATTATTTTTAGTATCTCAGTCAATTCGCCTTTACATATACACACTATATACATAACAGTTCCATATATACATATCACTATCTACCTACATGTAACAAATAATTTCTTACTAACCTGCGGATTACGATCTCCTCCAACGACAGCTAAAACTTTTCCATCCACCATTGAAGCTTTTCGAATACTCGAACTTTCACTATCGGCAATAAATAGGTAGTCTTGAGCCATAGCCAAACCCGAAGGTTGGGCAAAGGCTGCGTTTTGAGGATACGAATTGTTGCGATTCTCTTCCATGCCATTTCCAATTAGCGAAACACAGGTACGGGGTTCAAATTTACGGAATTTCCACCAAATCATAGCTTCTGGAAAATACCCCCATATCTGATGAGTACCCGCCATTGATATCAGTATTATGGTTTTTTCAGGTACATTTTGTTCATCTACATGGAAGGACATATCCATGTCTCGGGTACGGTATACTGCAACATCCCAGGGAGATGATATTTGTTGAAGAGGTCCCTCCTTTCCACCAGAACGATCATGACCCTGATGACCTGTACCAGCTAATGTTTCAACAATTTGTGTTATCAAATTCACTTGACGTATAGCATGGTTTTCGGTATCAGCGACAATGAGAGTATTATCATTGAGGAACGCCACACCCTGTGGAGAATTAAAACGCGCAGTCGAAATGTGGCCATCAACTAAACCAGAAGAGCCACAGCCAATTTTCATGAGGACTTCTCCTTGGAAATTAAAAACAATAACGCGATGATTTCCTGCATCTGCTACCGCAAACCTCCCATCATCACTACGTGCAATTTTGGCTGGGAACTTCAGTTTTGAAGCTGGAAGTAAGTCCATTGATGGTTTTAATGGCAATGAAAAGTCTTTAAGCTCCTGTTTTTGGGAAAAGAAACGTAAAGCTTGTTCGGTAAAACGTTCCAAAAAAAGGCCATGACCTTCTCCCATTAGCATAAGTAGTGGTGCTCCTGAAGGTGCTAAAACTATTAGAGTTGGCCAGCAACGTACTCCAATGCTACGCCACAGTGACATTGAGGGATCATTAACAATGGGATGCTCAATATTATAACGTTGTGCTGCTGCTAAAATATTCGCCGCATCTTTTTCATTCTCAAACTTGGGACTATGTACACCCACCACTACTAATCCACGTTCAATGGGGTACAACTTCTCCAGGTGATTGAGCTCGGGTAATATATGCATACAATTTATGCAACAGTAGGTGAAAAAATCTAAAATAACTATTTTACCACGTAAACCTTCCAAGGTTAAGTGGTGACTCACATTGAACCAGTCCAAATCTAGAAAAATTGAAGTCATGAATGCATTTGCCATTTTATAAAAGTCAACTCTCATTTCCTATTCACCTTTTCCGAATTCATATTTTTGTTTTCGAAGCGCATCCAGAGCGGAGTCTCCCTCCCAACGTCTCAGGAAATCTTGAAATATTTGCGATTGGGAAGTCACATCCTTGGTGGATTGATACCGCATTTGCAGCTCCTCAGTAATATAGCTCAGAAGATCACTAGGTTCCAAATCTTCGGATTCCATTTTGGCTATATTAAATAATTTCTTAAAGACTTCTTTGGACCTCTTGAAAAACCTCATAAATTTTCCGACTTTCACTGAGTGATTTGTTTTTAATAGAATTGTTCATTGGAACTATTTCGATAAAGGAACGAACGGAACTAGGTTCAGCTCATTAGTTCATATAGTTCCTTTTTCTCTTGTGCGATTCTGTAGTTAAAGGACTAAAGGGATAAGCAGAATGCTCGCGTTGAGCCATCCGTCGCGTTGGGATGCTCAATATTATAACGTTGTGCTGCTGCTAAAATATTCGCCGCATCTTTTTCATTCTCAAACTTGGGACTATGTACACCCACAACTACTAATCCACGTTCAATGGGGTACAACTTCTCCAGGTGATTGAGCTTCTGCTTATGGCTATATTATAGGATAATGTTCTTGCAGGATTTGAAAGAGACATAACGTTAAAGGGCTATGTAGAATGCTCGCGTTGAGCCATCCGTCGCGTTATGTATTATCGAAAATACAACAACCACAAGGATCGTTTCACAAACGCATATCGTTTCCTTGTGGTTGTTGTATTTTCGATAACATATAACGCGACGGATGGCTCAACGCGAGCATTCTACATAGCCCTTTAACGTTATGTCTCTTTCAAATCCTGCAAGAACATTATCCTATAATATAGCCATAAGCAGAATGGATCTGTTGCGCCATCCATTGTTTTATCGATAACACATAACGCGAGGGGTGACACTACGCTGTGATAGTGTGTGATTCTCAATAGAAACCATACCAATAGGAACGAACGTAGCAATAAGAAATGACTTCAAAACGGAACTAAAAATAGTCAAGAACCGATTTCTATATCCCTATTCTTCATTATGTTATTTCTTGTCATTCTTAGCTAATATTTTGATATTTTTCTTGCAGTTGTTGTCAGTAGTCACCAGAGTTTGTACGGGTACGGCCGGAGAAGATTCTAATCGGAAAGTCGAGCGGTTTTGGGATTGATTATATATATTTGCATTGCGAGATAAAAAGGTGAAGTTAGGAAAACCTACATTTTGTTCTGCCAAATTATAAGAACAAAATACAAGGGGAATAATCATCGCAGCAGCCGTGAGCTCGTGCAAACAATTTGAGGCGGATAGTGTCGTGTGTCTCAGTGTGTGAATTTTTGCTTCACGTTTCGTATTTTGTTGTAGAATAGATTTAAAGAATAAAGTGATAATTTAATTTGTTTTCTATAAAGTTTTTTCTTCAAGTAACACAATTTGTATTAATTTCCCTATACAATGAAAATGGAAAAAGTTAAACGTTTGCCTTGTTCTGAGAATTACCATAGACGGACTAGAAATTCTAATAAGAAATATGAATGGAATAATAAACCAACAAAAATAATGGTACAACAACATACTCGAGAAGTGAAGTCTATTGAAAAATCAATGGAACCTCCCCAATTTGGTGGTCTGCAGAATGTCGCCTCCTGCCCCACCATTTTAACCATCTCCCCAGCAACATCAACAGAAAACCCGGCCAATATTGTTACTTCAATGTTTTCGTCCAAGAACGTCGTTTTACGTCGTCTTTGTTTTTCACCTCTTCTTCTTCACGCATTGATTTTCTTAATCTTTACGAGCTCTTTCGGTCTTGGAAGTTGTTCCGTTAGTAGTGCTGGTGATTCATTAATAAATCAGCCGCACACAAGTGTGGAGGATCCAACAACAACCACATCATCAACAAAAATTCTAAATGCAGTGAACAACAAAAACCTCAACAACAATCCGAAGCTGAATGATACCCACAATTTACTGCTGCCCAAATCGGCTGAATCGCAAATCAGGTAATTTTTTAAAATGCCAATGAGAGTTTGTTTATTAATAAACGTTTAATAAATGTAGTATTTTTTAGCGGGGAATTACAAATTATTTTGTTAAAAATAAATACATTTTGATTGAATAATTAAAAGAATTTAATTAAGTAACGGTATAAAATACAACAATGTGGAACAACTTTAGTTTAGTAAAAACTATCCGATGTTTTTGAAATATCCATAATCCCCGGCCACCCAAAAAACAATTCCTGTTATGCGAAAGATTTTCATTATATTTGTAGGGTCTAAGGCCTATATCTTTTGATCCACAAAAGATGCAGCCACATATCGCACCATTTTGGAAAGGGTACGTTGTTGTCTATAATTCATGGTGAAGGACTATAATGGGAATTTTTCAAAGAATATCGGTGTACAAAACTCAGTTTTTTAAACTTTTTCAGAAAAATCTGATCGTTTTTACTAAACTAGATTTAAGCCAATTAAATGATCACGAATTTAATTTAGCACATATAGGTAATGTCTTCCTGATAACGAAAATATACAAGATAAGGGGCCACTGAAATTCTGAAATTCATAGGCTCATAACTAACTTTGTCATTTAACATCCGTTGAAGGAATATCGACGACTATTTAGAAAAAGATGCCGATCAAAATAATTTTTTATAGCGTAGCCGAATTTTCCGCCTGCACATAGGGGAAATTTTTAAATCCGCGGCCAAAGGCCGGCTGCCTAAGAATAATGTCTAAAGTAATTTTAATAGCGTAGCCAAATTTTCCAGCTTTCAATAGAAGATAAAGTCTTAAATACCCTGTCGAAGGCCGGAATTTAATTGCGTAGCTGACTTTTCAGCCTGTCCACAGCATAACATTTTTTGGATGCAATGTCCATAAATTACGCCTGAGCATATGCATTTCAGAACTTCAGATGCCCATATCTCGGATATAAAGTCATCTATTTTCGCGATCAGGGGGACATGGCAATCCTGTAGTAACAATTTCAAGAAAATCCGAGTTGGGCTTTTTGAAGTCGAATTTTTACAACGAATTTTTTTTTTATATTTTGAATCTTCTTATTCGGATTTTTATACCGAGTCATCAGAGACCCTTTGCAGTGTATATATTTAAGATCCGCGTAATATCCTTAGTTCTCTTCTCGGTCTGTTGAAATCAATATAAACCTTGCAATTTTTAAGGTAGTGATTTTCATATTTACGATGACTGTTATGTTTTCCTAATGATATTTAGACTGAAGGTAGCACATATCGGTTGAGGTTTTGGACTAACTCCTGATTTCCGTTAATTCGATGTAAATTCTGGTAAATTGATTGCAATATGGCTGTTCGCGGTTCTAACATGTAAAATACTTTCACATCGAATTGGATGTTCACAATTTTGTAGCACATATCGGTTGAGGTTTTGGGACTAACTCCTGATTTCCGTTAATTCGGTGTAAATTCTGGTAAATTTATTGCAATATAGCGGTTCGCGGTTCTCACATGTAAAATACTTTAACATCGAATTGGATGTTCAAAATTTTGTAGAACATATCGGTTGAGGTTTTGGGACTAACCATTGATTTCCGTTAATTCGATATAAATTTTCGTAAATTGATTGCAATATAGCGGTTCGCGGTTCTCACATGTAAAATACTTTCACATCGAATTGGATGTTCAATATTTTGTAGGCTCTTACTTACTTAGTTGGCTTGTGACAGAACTTTCGTTCCATAAGCCTAGCTTAGAAAAGATTTCCAGGCGCGTCGGTCTTTTGCGCAGTTTTTCCAATTTGAAAGACCATTTTCGGCAATGTTGTCTTCGACTTGATCTTTCCATCGTATTCGTGGCCTTCCTCTTCTGCGTGAACCATCAGCTGGTTCGCTTTTATATGCCTTCTGGGCTTGGGCATCTTCATCCATTCTCACAACATGTCCTAGCCAACGTTGTCGCTGCAGCTCAATACGTCTAACAATGTCGATGTCCGAGAATAGCTGGTACAATTCATGGTTCTTTCGACGGCGATATTCACCGTCAACGCAGATCGACCCATAGATCTTTCGGAGAATTTTTCCCTCATACCATAGTAGTATCGGTTGGCCATCACTACCCTTCTCCGAATTTCAAAACTGATGTCATTCGTTTTATTTATGGCGGTACCAAGGTATATAAAATCTTTGACTACATCGAAGCTGTAGTTCTCAAGTTCCACAGTTGGTCCGAGTCTACTGGACGTCTTGCGTGTTGATACTGTCGGGCTGTCGAATGCGGCTTTATAGTCGACGAATAGGTGGAATGTGTCGATGTGTATTTCGTGGGTTTTTTTTCAGGATTTGGCGCAGAGTGAAAATCTGGTCAATGGTGGATTTGCCAGTTCTGAAGCCACATTAGTATGGTCTAATAATGTCATTGACCATTGGCTTCAGTCGTTCACACATCACGCTGGATAGCACTTTATATGCTATGGAAAGGAGACTTATTTCTCTATAGTTGGCACATATCGCCTTGTCTCCTTTTTTGTGCACGGGACACAGGTTGCTGAGGTTCCAATCAATTGGCATGCATTCTTCTCGCCAAATTGTACTAATCAGTTGGTGCATGCTCCTTACCAGCATCTGACCACCAGTCTTGAATAGTCCGCTTGTAACCCATCGGCACCTGCTGCTTTATTATTCTTCAGCCGATTGATTGCTATTCTGACTTCATCTTGTCTAGGTGGTATACACTCTATACCGTCATCTATTATTGGTTCTGGGGTATCCGCCTCACCGATACTTAACACGCAGTAGGATGTGCCCGCACCAAAGCCTTTGGTTTGGTGTTTTACCCGTTGGTAGAATTTTCGGACTTCATTCTGACTCCTGTACATCTCGATTTGCTCACGCTCACATTTTTCTTGTTCTTTCTTCTTTTTTCTGAAAATACGTGTTGCTACTGTCCTCATGGTTGCTCTATACGCTGCTTTTTTCATATCAGTAGCATTACGACACTCCTGATCGTACCATGGGTTTCTTGGTGATGGTTTTTGGTGTTGCTTTTGCTGCAGTATGTAGGGAGTGGGCAATTCTTTGCCATTGGGACAAGAAGTGCTTTCGTCAAGCAGGTGGGTAAGTTGAGCGGAGTAGGCCTCGGCTACCTGTTGAGTTTGCAGCTTTTC